TACTGCTTGCTGATTTTCTAACGGATCAGAAAAGCCATTGCCCATAGGTGCAATGTGCTAAGCATGGACTGTTACAGGGAAGCAGGACTGGGCAAGAGTCCCAGCAACCCCATTCACTAGCTGTGTGATCTCGGCTGAGTCACCAGACCTATCTGAGGTTCAGTTTCTCCATCTGTCAAATGGGAATAGTAATAGTACTTAGCTCAGTTTTTTGCATGTGAGGCACATATGAGAATTGAGCCATGCCAAAATGCACATGTGTGGGGCCCACAGCAAGCATCCCATAACTGTTACCTACTTTCAGCATTGAAGAATGATGTCAGTGTATGCTTCTCAAATTAAAACGATTCAAATTTAGGACCCCCCTGTTTTCCTCCTCTGCTTGTCATCCCAGTGAGTCATCAGTCTCATGCCATGCTTCAGGGCAGCAGAGTTTTGTTTGAAACAGCGGGTCAGAACCCCACATTTTGGGGAGTTGTTCTTGGCTGTTGCAGACTTTGGGTGTGTGAAGGAGACTTGAGTGTGCAAGGGAGACTTAGCACAGTTGCTGCAATAGCTGTTGGGGGTGAGGGTTTTTTGTCAGCTACAGGGGTTAGTGGTATGGAGAACATTTTCCTGCCCCAAGATTTCCTGGTCATTAGAAACATTCCTGCTGGAATTCTGGACCTGCATTTCTTGAAGATGACTGGTGGAGCGCAGTGATGCCTCCAGCAGCCCTGGTCATCTTTTTTGCACGTGTACATTGTGAGAGAGTTGGAATGAGTCAGCCTCATATTCCCAGTGCCTTCACTGTTGCAAGTGGAATAGAACCTCCCTTTCTTTCTTCTGAAATAACAGTGATTTAACCCTCGACTTTCCAGCAGATTCCAGGTCATGGATCTTCCCACTTTCATCTCTTGCTTCTCTGGGAGACTTAAGAAGAGATGGTGGCACCACATTAGAGCACTCCCCAGCAGCCCTTACCCCTGGAACAATGGCCTCCCCTCATTCAAGCCCACTTATCTGAGCTCTGCTGTGCTTTCTGTGAGCTGGAAGGATCCCAGGAGCTTTTGGTGCCTGGCCAAGTTCATGCCGGGAGAGAGACTAAGCTTTGTACTGTGACATTGTTCCCAAACAGGAGTCTACCAAATTCTAGGGCTTGTTTTGGGCACCAAGGCTTTTCCTAGGCCTGTGCAGCCCACAGAGGCCCCCTTTTTCCATAGAGAAGTGCTGTTGAGGGAGAGCAGAGGGGTAGACACTGTCCGGGGGCAAAACAAACACCTCTCCTGCACTGTCCAGCTTTAGGCAGATGATACCCTG